TGCTGTGCCCTCCTGTGCCCCTGTGGCCTCCTAAGTTATGCTGTGCCTTCCACACTCCCTGAGGCTCACTGTGGCCCTCAAAGCCCTCCATGAGCTGGCCCTGTCCACCCCACCACTGCTCCTGCTGTTCTGACCTTCTTTCTGCTCGATCTGACCTCAGGGCCTCCACCTCTAACCAGGCTGCTCGTGGCCCAGAACTGCCCATGCCAGCTTGTCCTCTCAGTGTAGGGCTCTGCTCAGATGTCCCCTCCCTAGAGAAGCCTGCCAGGACACCATTGTGAACCAGTCTCTCTAGGCTGACCCCTTGCCTGCTAATTGTGTTCAGTACACTCTTGCCTCCAGAGCTGCATTCCTTAGTTACTTGTTTGTTGCACATCTCCCCATCAATACACAGGCTCCCTGTAGCAGGGACTTTTTTTTTTCTTTTGCAGTTTTTGGCCAGGGCCGGGTTTGAACCCGCCACTTCTGGTACATGGGGCCAGTGACCTACTCCTTCAAGCCACAGGTGTTGCCCTGTAGCAGGGACTTTTATCTTAGCCTCCCTCTTTCCCCAGAAAGTACAGCAATATTTGGCTTGGAGTAGCCATTTAGTCGTTTAACTATGGACTACGTGGACTATATTTAGTCATTCAACTATGGACTACTCAACCCCAGGAGCTGCCAGGGAGCAGCCAGGCTGGGGCAATGCTGCTGCAGCGTGGTGGGTAGGGGAAGATGCAGAGTCATTTGCTGGTGGACCAAGGACTTGTCTTTGTCCTGTGCCTTGTCGCAGCTTAAGTCATCACTTCACACTATGTGGCCTCCAGCTGCTGATGCTTTGAAGCAAAGCCCCTGCCTGCCTGGCCTCATGCGCCTGTGGGCAGCAGTCTTCAGGGTCACAGCAAGACAGACTTTGAGCCTTGTGGGGCCAGGATATCTGCTGTGCCCACATGTGCTTTCTGGAAGGGTAGGGTTTTTGAAAGAGGCCCTCTCCCTGCTAAGACACAGTCCCAAATGCCCTCCCACCATCCCAGGGCCCTCGGCATCTCACCTCCTCCCAAAAGATGGGGTTGGTCTCATAGCCACCCACAGACAAGGCATCCCCTTGGAGGCGGAGGTAGACAGAGGCGTCATGGTCACGGACATTGGGCATGTTCTGGAAAGTAGAGCAGAGAGGCCTGGGCCTCAGCCAGGGTTGGATGGGGCCCCATTCCCCAAGCCCTGTAGCCCCTCAGCCGGGGATCCCAGGCCTGGTTTAGGACCCTGAGAACAGAGTGGACAGGGAGTCTCAAGTTATTCACAGTGGAAAGACGCTCCCAGTAAAGTCTCTCCTTCCCCCAATCCCATAACATAACAGCAGATGAGCAAAAAGGGAGAAGGGTGGATGGCTGGATGGAGGAAGAGAGGGAGGGAGAAAGGAAGGGAAGAAGGAAGGAAGAAAGCACAGCCCACAGAGACAGTAGGAGGAGACGCAGTGGCTGAGGGAGGTTTGGCCAACACAGGAGGCTGCGGAGTGGGTGGAGGAGGGTGATGCTTTAGGTCCAGTTTGACATGAGGGGGACTGAACGAGTCCTGGCTATTTGCCCCTCTCTTAGATCCCCTTAAATCTGCAGAGGCTGAGCTGGTGGCCACCCCCAGTCCTTCCACAGGAGTGACAGAAGGATCTGGCTCTGGGCAGTGGAGGCAGGGGAGTGGACTGCCACCTCCTCACCCCTGACAGCAGACTAGAAGCTTTTCTGCAGAGACAGTGAGTGTCCCAGGGAAGGCTCAAGACACTGACGCAGGAGTCCGTCACCAAAGAGGACAGCTAGCCAGGTATCCTCCCTGAGAGGCTCTCTGCTGTCCCCTCCAAGCATCCATTCAGCCTGCTGGAAACTCCGTCTTAAAAAAGAAACCACAAGAACTTCAGAGCTAGGGGAAGATTGGTCCATAAAACAAGATGCTATGTAAAAGGAATCTGAGATTGAGAAAGAGGTCTTTAAATTAGCTTTGACAATCAAAATTTAAAACTCAACAGAAGGGTCAGATAGGAGAGGGGCAGAGACCTTCATCCAGCTGTCAGGCTAAAAAGATGAAGAAATGGAAATTAGGAGTGGGGGAAAAAAACAACAGAAAAAATCAGGTCAATCCTGAAAGTCCAGCATCCATCTTACAGGGGTTCCAGAAAGAAAAAACAGAAAAATGGAGTTGAGGAAAATGTCGTATCAATAATCCACAAAATCTCCTCAGATCAAAACCCACGAATCCATGCTGAAAGGCCCACGAGTGCCCACCAGCCATGGGACTGGGCAGAGTCTGCACCAAGGCCACACCAAGTGAAGTGTCAGGACACCAGGTGACCAGAAGGGTCACAAACAAAGTGACCATATCACTGGAGGCTGGATGTCCCTCAAGGCATCCCATGTTCATGAAATCAAAGAACATTTCAAAGTATTGACAGAAAACGATTTTAAATGTAGAGCTCTAGATCCCATCAAGCAATCAATCAAGTAAGGGAGGAATAAAATAAAGACCTCTCGCAGACATTCATAGACACAAAACATTTAGTTCCCCTGCTCAGTAAACTGCCAGAGAATGTGCTTTGATAGAGGAGGAAATTAAACCAAGAAAGAATAAGCCAGCTCAGCACCTGTAGCTCACCAGCTAGGGCGCCAGCCACATACAGCAGGGCTGGTGGGTTTGAACCTGGCCCAGGCCTGTCAAACAACAATAAGAACTACAACAACAACAAAATATAGCCAGGCGTTGTGGCAGGTGTCTGTAGTCCCAGCTACTTAGGAAGCTGAGGCAAGAGAATCACTTAAGCCCAAGAGTTTGAGGTTGCTGTGAGCTGTGATGCCACAGCACTCTACCAGAGAGGGAGACATAGTGAGACTCTGAATAAGAAAAAAGAAAGAATGAAAGAAATAAGCCACGGCAGATCCCAACAGAAGAGCTCTGAAGCTCTGAAGGTCAGGTGACCGCTTAGCAATAGATCAAGGGGCGATCAGTCCACAATGGAGCAGAAGATCTGAAGGCACCAGGAAGGAGACCTCCAGGGGAGGGAAATGAGATCTGGTGTACAAGAGTACTCAGCAAATAGTAGATAGGTGTTTGGTTTGTCAGAGCTGCTGAAACATGTGGGTGAAAATAGTGACAGTTATAACTGCAGTGCAAATATCCTCAATAAAATAATAGCAAAGTGGATGTGGCAGCATATAAAAAAGAGAATACACCATGACCAAGTGGGATTTACCCCAGGAAAGCAAGGTTGGTTTAACACATGAAAGTCACATGTAATAAATGACTGTAACACACCATATTAATAGGGTAAGGGGCAAAAATGCATAATCATTTCAATAGATGCAGAAACAGCCTTTGACAGAATTCAACCAGAATTTAACCTTTGGATAAAAACCCTGAACAAACACTCAACAAACCTGGAATACAAGAGAACTCCTCAGCTCGGCACCTGTGGCTCAAGTGGCTAAGGCGCCAGCCACATACACCTAAGGTGGCGGGTTCAAATCCCCAGCCCGGGC